GCCGAGGGTTCGGATCCCACATACAGACCGGTTCCCGCTCACTGGCTGAGCGAGGTGCGGGTGCGGCACCGAGGGTTGCGATCCCGTTGCCGGTCCCAGTCCGGTACGGGCGCGACACTGAGGGTTGCGATCCGTTGCCGGACACGAAAAAAGACAAAAAAAAAAAAAAAAAAGTACTCTACTTGTTAAGAGGAAGGAGAGATCCCAACTGTGCTCTATCTGCTCTACATTCTAGATTTTTATGGTGGTTATTTGATAGAAAAAAATCTAAAATTTGGAGTGAAGACTATGTATCCTTGGGTTTCCCTTGACTTTCTCCCACTTGTGATCTAGAAGATTTTTTTTTTTTTTTTAATTAAAAGATGACTGGTAAAGGGATTTCAACCCTTGGCTTGGTGTTGTCAGCACCACGCTCAGCCAGTGAGCCAACCGGCCATTCCTATATAGGATCCGAACCCGTGGCCTTGGTGTTATCAGCACTGCACTCTCCCGAGTGAGCCACGGGCCAGCCCTGATCCAGAAGTTGTTGAATAAAGTACTTCTAAAACCAATTTGCCTTCTGCATGAAATTCCCTCACCATTCTTTCAAATTAAGGCAAGGTATCCATGTCATATGTAAAGTGACTGGGACAAGCAACAAGTTAGATCAACACCCAGTAACAATTAAAATTCACCAAGATCTTATAGATTAGTAGCAAGGTGATAACCTTTACTCTCTGAAGAAATTAGATGTTCGGTAGAAAATGGGGAGATGGCAGGATAAGATGGTCAAGTTCTAGGAAGGTTGGAAAAATAAAACTGTCAAAGGGCACAGAGAAAAGGAAAAGATTCCAACAACTTCGCCTACTTACGTGGTCTATCTGGATCTGTTGTCACTTCTTTATAATAATTTTCAGCTAAATTTTAAAAGTCTGAAATTAAAAATATATTCAAGGGCTTGGTTATATCTGAATATAATGTACAATGAAGGAATAGAACATTAAAATTATCGCAAAATTTCAATTACCTTTCTCCTTTCTGGCGTTTTAAGTTTCCTTTATATTCATCCCAGGTGCTCTTGTCTGCAAGATCACCAGATACAAAATCTTGAAGGTCTGGCCCATTCTGTAAAAATTCATGTTTTTTATCTGGCAAGGAACTGAATGGTCTGACAGGCCTGCATAAATATCTTCCAAATACCTAAAGAAAGAGTTCATTATGACATTTAGTGGGGTCTGCAAAAATTTAGTTTTAATCCACTATAATTCCTAAAGGGAGGGGAAAGCCAAAGAACTGATTCATAAATTATGTCAAACTATATAGGGGCTATAATTGCCTAGGAGATTAGAATATAAGATTAAAGAGGACCCAAGAGAAAGGAACCAACCCTAAGGGAGAATAGAAGTTAACTGTTTACTGCTCGATTTAGAATATATTTGAAAATCACTGGAACTGTCTACCACATGTCACACTTTCATGTACCCCATTTAAGGTGCTACAAAGTTACAAAGTTTGTCTTTCAAGGGGCCGGCCCGTGGCTCACTTGGGAGAGTGGGTGCTGATAACACCAACGCCACGGGTTCGGGTTCCTATATAGGGATGGCCGGTTGTCTCACTTGGGAGAGCCTGGTGCTGACAACACCAAGTCAAGGGTTAAGATCCCCTTACCGGTCATCTTAAAAAAAAAAAAAAAAAAAAAAAAAAAAGAAACCAACGAAGTTTGTCTTTCAAGATTTTTGTTTTCTTGGCGGCTGGCCAGTATGGGGATCAGAACCCTTGACGTTGGTGTTATCAGCACCAAGCTCTAACCAAGTGAGCTAACTGGCTAGCACTATCTCTCAAGTTTAAACTTCTTTAAATGGAGTAGGTACCACAGCTTTAAATTTTCTATTCCTGACTTGAGTCAAGGAAGTTCAAAAGGAAATTTGCAAATCTTTCTAGCTCGGGCTTTGGATAAGCACTAAGTGTTAAAACGTAGAGGTAATGCCCAGTTGGCTTCAGAGAACTAGAAGGAGAGAAACCAAACCTAAACTTTTTATTTTCTAGGTTACATTGTTTCTATGTTCGAACATGGCAGTCATTCAATAAACATCTGTTGAGCAGAAGAAACCATGGTATTTTGGCTTCTAGATCTGAACACAAACGTGCACGAGATAGCCCAAATACTTTAAACTTCACGAGTCAGTACGTGTAACGCAAAGGAACCTGCAACAATTCAAAAAGAGTGCTTGTCAGAGCGCTGCATTATCGCTACTGCCCTAGCCCACGTCTACAGCTAAAGCCTAGAGGACAGGTTTGTGTTCTTAGTTAGCAGTGAGTGATGTCTAATGCACAGACAGAGCCCAAAACAGAGTTGTTATTTGGGGTGCTCCACTAAATCTAGGGTACAAACCACATTCTAAGCGGGAAGAAAACCTTCAGCGCCAGCCCAGAGAGACGTTCAACAAACCAGTACCAGAGACTGCACCTCATGGGGGTGTCGGGAGAATTAAATGGGATACTACATAAAAAACGTTTAGATCAGTGCTTGGCTACAAGTGAACACTCAATAAGCGTTGGCCTTTTATTACTGGGCCCTCTAAGGGATGGGAGCCCCTCACCCCACGCCCGAACCCCGGTCATCCTACCGCTCACCCGGGGCCCCAGGGTGCGGGCGGCGTCCCGGCAGCGTAGAGACATCCCCTGACTAGGCCTAGCAGGGTCGAGGGGTTGAGGTGTCACTAATACCCTGGAAAGGGCAGAGGGAAAATCGGTCGCTTGGTTTATGACAAAGCAACTGAGCCACTCCTGACCCGCAGGAACTTGAGCTACTCGGCGATTGGCTCCTCTAGCCTCAGTGGCGTCGCGCACTCATGACGCAATACGCAGGGCCCTTACGAGTTACAAGAACGTGATGACAAAAGACGTTCTCTTTTGGCCGCATCTACTGCGAGGTGAGGGTGTTTCTGTGTTCGGTGAGCCCTGGGAATCTGAAGTCATCGGCTCTGGGAAAGCCAGTGGCACAGGTCCGAGGCTCGGAGCCCTTGTCCTGGTTGTTCCCCAGCTCGGTGAGCGCCGTATGGACCTGGCGGCACCAGGATGCGAGTCCTATTCTGGGCTTTTAGGCCTGCCCCCGCCCCTCAACCTTACTGGGATGGCGCCTCCTAGATGGGACTTCCAGGGTTGGGCCGAGCGGGTCTTTACCCGTTGGGCCTCGTAACACCCGCTTTGAAACTGCTCCTGGCAGTCGGGGCCGCGCCTTGGGCCATTCTTGGTCTCGGTCCTTCTGTGTCTTCCCCGGGAGTTCCGCCTGGGAGTCTCCGGTAGGAATGGAGCTCTTTGCGGTGTAATTTGCTAGCTTTTTTACTCCGAAGTGTTTGTGTTTCAGAATGAAGACCATTCTCAGCAATCAGACTGTCGACATTCCAGAAAATGGTATGAGACTTGATGTTTTTCTCTTAACATTTTACTACGTGCTCTAAGCCTTGTTTTGTGGCCTCACGAATCTGTTCTCTCTTGTAGTCGACATCACTCTGAAGGGACGCACAGTAATAGTGAAGGGCCCCAGAGGAACCCTGCGGAGGGACTTCAATCACATCAATGTAGAGCTCAGCCTCCTTGGAAAGAAAAAGAAGAGGGTGAGGGTTTTTTTTTTTGCGTTTTTTCCCGATGCTTAAATTGCTTGTTTGTAAGGGAGTAATTTATAACGGCATCAAATTTGGTTGCCTTAAAATTTTATGAATTGAGGTCCAATGTTTTTACCATAAAATTTGGCATCCAGAATTGTAACTAGTTTTGCCTTAGTGAAGTCGGAAAACCAGATTTTTAGTACAACGGATTACAAAGCCCAACAAGTAGTCCTCATCAGTGTCAGGTTTAACACTGTTAGAGTTAGGAACTGGGTGATAGGTTTTTAAACCTAATGACTTAGTTTTCCAGAAGTGAAGTTTGTTGAGACTTGTACTACAATCTGTGGTTTGGGGTTGTCATTCCTTTGTGAAATTATCTGTGATGTAGAGTAAAAAAAACATTTGTGAATTACTGGAGGCATTAAATGTGATTGGATTTTTCCAGTTGAAAATCATATGCTTTGGTTAGGATCGATTCTAGAATCCAGAGTAATTCAGGGAGTAAATGGACTGTTTACTTGCAGCCTATTTCTTCCTGGAAAGAATCTTCTGAATTTTTTTCTTCTGTTACAGCTCCGGGTTGACAAATGGTGGGGAAATAGAAAGGAACTGGCTACTGTTCGCACTATCTGTAGTCATGTACAGAACATGATCAAGGGTGTTACGCTGGTAAGCAGAATGATTAGACTTACTTGTTTTGGAAGATGAGGTTTTTCAGCTGTAGTTTATGTGTGCAACACAAGTATCTACTGCAGAGAGTGTTTTTTGCATGTAATTTGGTGAGATACATGAACTCTAGAACTTGGCAAATAGGCGTGCCTAAGTCTTTAGAATTAAGTGATAAATGTGAGTAAAGACCAGATGGGTGCAATATTTAAAAAGAAGGCTGATGGTGTTTTTTTCACACAATAAATTTCACACCTTTAGGATTTTGTATGTTTTTGTGGTTTTTTTTTTTAATCGAAAATCTGCAGCTGCAGCGCGTAGGGTAGGCTTTGATTACTTGTTGGTACGCCTTTCACCACCAGGACCCCTTTAGGGGAAATTAGATAAGATCTAATTTCTGAGCTCCCTCACTTTTCCCTAAATGTATATCTCATGTCACTATTCTTTCCACCCTCCTCTCCCCAAGATAAAGTTCATGCTCAAATGGTTTTCTTTGCATTTAAATAAAACCCAGCCGTTCTAGAGTGTACCTGATAATGGCACCCTGTATTTCTACTATAAACCTATTTGATCATGTTTCCCATATCTACTCTTGCTTCCAGACTAAATTCCTTGAAGGCAGGGGACCTGTCTTGTTTAGCTGGATCTTGCCATCCAGTAACTCAGTAAATGTTAGTCCAGGTGTTAGTCCAGTGCCCAAATGAGGGGCTTTGGGGTTCTCATTAAAAGAAGCTAGCATTGTTTACTGTTGGCATAAGAGAGAGTAAAATGCTTCCTTAAGGAGCTTTATGGTTCAGTGAGCAGACAGAAACATGTTTGTAAGGCTTGGTACAGGTGACAATTTTTATAGAACCTTGACAGTGAGTGCTATGTAAAGGCTGTTACACTTTAAAATTTAATGTAATCATTCTACAGGATTCAAAAACTGGATTTATTTAAAACTTCTCATATTGCTAACAGCTTATTTATTTAACATAGGGCTTCCGTTACAAGATGAGGTCTGTGTATGCTCACTTCCCCATCAACGTCGTTATTCAAGAGAATGGGTCTCTTGTTGAAATCCGAAATTTCTTGGGTGAAAAATACATCCGCAGGGTTCGAATGAGACCAGGTATGTGCTTACCTTTCAGATGTGATTCAGAAATTTTTCCAACATACTTTTGAAGGTTGGTGTTTTGGGGTTGTCTCTGAGTAAAACCAGATTTATTTCAGAACTATCTCTTAAGCATGCTTATAATAACTCTTGGTGCTAGTTAAGGGTTTATCTTTATACCAGTTGTGACTCCTGAAGGTTTATACAGTGGAGTAGTTTGAGGAGCATGGTAGCTGCATTTAATTAGTTTTGCAAGCTGAAATCTTAAAACATTTTTTAAAGTTTTGATTTTATTAAGTAATGAAGATATATACTCGTGTATAACCGTGTGTATTAAATGCTGAGTATCCCCTATCTGAGATGCTTGGGACCAGAATTGTTTTGGCTTTGGGATTTTTTTTGGATTTTGGAATATTTGCGTGTACATACATAATGAGGTATCTTATGGATGGGACCCAAGTCTAAACACGAAATTCATTTACATTTTAAATACCTTATGCACATAGTCTGAAGGTAATTTTATACGATAGTTTTATGCATGAAACAGTTTGTGTAAATTGACCTCTCAGTGTCTTAGCCACCCATGTGAACAGTCTGGTTGTTTGACAACAACATCATTCTTCACCATGAATTTATATGCTACCATAAACAATTATTTTCTTAAACTTATTCACACAAAAGTACTTAACAGTAAAAAATATGATGTACCATTAGTACAGTAAAAAAAATAATGTTCTCACGGTAAATAAGCAGCACAGTAGTGTCACCAGAATACCTATATCAGCTGTTAAAGAACAGCAGCAACAAAAAATGGCAGGCTTTCAGTCTCTACCTACAGTGCTGTGTTTTGAGCACCTATGTTTTGACTGCAACCCCTCATGTGAGGTTGGGGATTTTGAGTTTTCAGATTAGGGATGCTCAACCTGTTTATACTATAGTATATAATATAGGGTGCAATGTGAAGTTTAAATACACATGTACATTGTGGAATGATTGAAATGATCAGGCTAACTAACATATACATCGCTTCACATACTTTGTGGTGAAAACATTTATTTATTTTAAAAGATGACTGGTAAGGGGATCTTAACACTTGACTTGGTGTTGTCAGCACCACGCTCACCCAGTGAGCAAACCGGCCATCCCTATATGGGATCCGAACCCGTGGCCTTGGTGTTATCAGCACCACACCCTCCCAAGTGAGCCACAGGCCGGTCCCGTGGTGAGAACATTTAAAAAAAAAATTTTTTTTTTCTTTTGACCAGTAAGGGGATCACAACCCTTGGCATGGTGTGATCGACACCACACTCAGCCAGTGAGCGCACCGGCCATCCCTATATATGATCCGAACCCGCGGCCTTGGCGCTCCCCGCACCGCACTCTCCCGAGTGAGCCACGGGGCCGGCCCTGAGAACATGTAAAATTAAAGATGCTCTCTTGATGCTTTTTTAATCCATTGGGATGGGAAGAAGAAAGAGTCTTAGTACCAACTTAATAGCTCTCCAAAAATATTCTATGGTGACAACCCTTATGTAAAAAACTTAAAGGATACCAAATACAGTAGGAATCAGACTTGGTACAAAGCTTTGTACAACTAAATTATACTATCTGAACGAATACCTTAATTGAATCACTAAAAGAGTTTGTAACCATTGTAACCACTCTGGGACTCTGGTGCATTCAAGCAGAAACATAAATAAGATTTTATCCAGATAAGTCAGATCCTATAAAACCAAAATCTCAAGAGAAGGTTCGTTTGGTGCATGGAATTTTAAATGGAATTAATTACTATCCCTGGAATTTAAATATTTCATATCTTGATCCGATTTATGTTGACACAATGCAAATACCCCCTCCCCTTTTAGGTGTTGCTTGTTCACTCTCTCAAGCCCAGAAAGATGAGTTAATCCTTGAAGGAAATGACATTGAACTTGTCTCAAATTCAGGTTTGTATGTTTATTATGTCTAATTAAGCCTACAAAATTTTGTCTTAAATCTTGTAGTTGAATACATGGTATTTTATTTACTACATTTGATTAGATTTTTTAATTGTGGAAATTAGAAGGCTATCTCAAGGACATTCTGAGATTTTTAAGATGGGTTTGGCTGATGAAGTAATTGCCTTATCTTTTTCACTCCTGCAGCTGCTTTGATTCAGCAAGCCACAACAGTTAAAAACAAGGATATCAGAAAATTTTTGGATGGTATCTATGTCTCTGAAAAAGGAACAGTTCAGCAGGCTGATGAGTAAGAGCTAAGAGGTAGGTTCTTGTAGTGTCTGTGTTTTATTATTGCTTCAGTTGGGAGTCTACTAGAAGACTTACACTGGAGTTGTAATGGTCAAAAATGGAGAGTTGAGTTCTGGAACACAGTAAATTTGGTAGAATAAGATCAAATTGGCATGAATTTAAAGTAGGTTTTAGATTATTTAGAATAAAATTTCTGGGCAAGGGAATTAATGGAGATTTACAGATGTTTTTATATTTCTTTTTACAGTTGTCCAGCTACAGAAACAAACAACAGGATGATTCCCAAGACATGCTTGTAAATTTTAATGATGGAATAAAAGACCTATTCATTTGGGACCTTTTCTTAAACTGATTATCCTTTCCAAGTACTTGGCAAGTAAACAGTTCAGGAATAGACTCTAGTGTGCTAAGAACAATGCAGAGGGAAGAGAAAATTAATTTTTTTCTGTTTTTTCCTTCATGGGAACCAAGTGGCCTGAATCTCATTCTTGAAGGAATAGCAAGGATATTTCAGGCAAGAGAAATATGGTACCGTGACAGGCAGACAGCACGGGTGTTCATTATTGGATGTAGAACTTTGAAAATATCCTGAAAGTGTCTATTTTGCCAAGGCATGAATTTGAATTAAAGCAGGTGTGCCCTCGTCACTTGTGAAAAAAACAGCTGAGAAGTGAGACAAAGTGATACAGCCTCTGGAAGAGTTGAAAGACACAGTTAATTCGTGTTTATGATGAATATAATTGCGTTGGTCCAAGGTCTCTGTAATCTTGCTCTCTACCCTCAGCCATTTACTTCCATACCCTGGACCTTGATATTTTAAAAAAACTGATAAGAACCCTTCCCAGCATCTCTTAATTTCATGTGTTATACTTAAAAAATGATGCGATGCCACCGTAGTAGATATTCTTTAACTCAGCATGGTGACCCCCAAATCTCTTCCTGCAATCTTCCGCATCTCCTTTGGTGGAAATTCCGGCCTTCCAATTTCTCAGGCAAAACTTAACATTCCACCTTTATTTCCTTTTGACACATACATCCAGTTCATCAGGAAAGCCTGATGGATGCCTTCAGAATATGTTCAAAGACTTTATTAGAAAAATAAAGCAATAAAAAAATGAGGGGGATCTATAGATTTTGAAACTACGGAGGTAGCAATGAGTTGGAACAAATAGATCTTATTTAGATCTTGATTCAAGTACACCAATCGGGTATATGATATTAAGGAGTTAATCTGGTTTTTTCCGTGTCCGGCAACGGATCGCAACCCTCAGTGTTGCCCCCGTACCGGACCGGGGACCGGCAACGGGATTGCAACCCTCGGTGTCGCTCCCGCGCCTCGCTCAGCCAGTGAGCGGGAACCGGTCTGTATGTGGGATCCGAACCCTCGGGCGGGAGCGCTGCCGCGCTTCCCAAGCGGTGCACTATCCAGTTGCTGGTTGTAGTGATTTCCATGATAACTTGGGCGTGGTAAGTCTACTTCTCCAGGGAAGACTTTTATGTGTTTTCTATGTCTGTGGATAAGCACTTGTGTGATGTTTTCCCAACTTGGAGGTGTAGGTGCCTGCATTTTGTTAATGAAAAAATATACCCAGAAGTAAGTTAATCACTTGACACACAGCTTGGGAGAAGAGGAAGGCAGTGTTTGGGCAGAACCGAGTTATAATGCCAAAGCCATTCACATTCCATGATCTTACAATTGACCACATTGTTAGTTGGATATAAATAATCAGCATAAACTAGTTTATTTGGAATAAATTACACTGAAAATTAAGCATTTAGTCACAAAGGCCTCAGTTTCCAGAGGCTCTTTAAACACTGTAGTTGTGATGTTTCCATCTATGTCAATTTAGTGAAAGGTTATATTGAATACATAAAGTAACACAAGTTAAATGTCAAGGTGATATTTTTTTCCCCAGCAAGTCTTAGAACAGCTTAAACTCAAGATCTTATCTATTTGCTCCTTTCAAGAGCTATCAACAGTTTCTGACTGACTTGATGATTTTTAAATGAGTTTTATGATAAACTTGAACATTTTAGTAAGTATAATACATCATGACCCAGACAAAATATTTACCTAAGGATTCTTGTATGATAGTTTAAAAATTAGTAAAATAATCCCCAAGTATTGGACAGGGAGGACTGTACACAGGGTTTAAGAACTATTTGGGGGAGTTTATGGCAAGGTAACAAGTTCAAAAAGGGACAGGGCTGGGTGTTAGCTCACTTGGTTAGAGCATGGTGTTTTAACCAGGGTCAAGGCTTTGCCAAAAAAGGGGGGGGATATAAGCTTAAACTTATTTTTTGGGTGATTGGCCAATACAGGGATCTGAACTCTTGACCTTGGTGTTGCAACATTGCTCTAACCAACTGAGCTAACTGGATAGCCCCTTAATCTCTTAATGTGAAGACAAAAAAAAATTGTGAAGGTAATGGAGTTGTCAGTCATGAATATGAGATACTTTAGTCATAGGGCATAAAATAGAGACCGGAAAGCAAAACCTGAAAGGTTAGTTACAAATCTTTGCTATTCCTATGCCTGTCTGTACATTTCTTTTACAAGACCTTGATGTTAACGAGAGATTGATATGAGTTGCTCAACTGACAGGATTTTCACTGGGGTGAATGGGGTATAAATGGGAAAAAAACCCAGCCAAATGATTCTTTTAAATGACTTAGTCTTTCTACATAACTAACATAATAAAACAATCAGTAATTATTCATTGTCTTAGGCACATAGTTCTCAAAGGGAAAATACCAAAAATTCTTGCAGCGCATACCTAAAAACTGCCAAAATTGGGGAAGTGGAGGCAAGGAGACAGAAAAACATAAGCAAAATTTTACTGTTAGAATTTGGCTAGTCAAGTAGCAAATCGCTTTCCCAGTGTGCATTTGCTTGAATTGACCAATTTTATTATCTCTTTGCAGTATCTTTGAAAATTACTGCTGTTGATTATCAATTAGAAAATTATGTACTGGATTTGGCTTCTGACATAGGCGGACTTGGAATACGATCACAGTTGCCTTTATTTAGGGTAGTTTCCTACTAAAGTTTTTTTGAATAGAAGAACTTTCTTTTGACTTAACGGGACAGACAATGACTAGTTACTGTGTGTAATGGGTGGTTATTTAAATGTTGACTAATCTAAAGAAAGAATAGGTATAAATGGATATAGTCAAGTTTTTTCCCTCCATTGTTTAGAATACACTGAACAAGTCTAAAGTACAGTTTATTTTAAAAAAAGTCAAACTCTCCATTCAGGTTCAGATTTAAGAATTTATGTAATCCTATTCTAAAAAGGTTCTGTAAAAAAAAACAATTTTAACTCATTCAGGCTGTAAACATACTGAATTGTATCCAAAGTGTCACAGTTGCTATGTCCAGGTATTATGGCTGCATTCTAAACCTTGAAAAGTACCTATATACGTGTGGTGTCGGTATAGTGAAGCTCCTCTGGGGAGAGAGCAAGTCTTAGGGAATAAAATGCCCTTTGACGACTATTGATAACTGATAAGTAAAACTTTACGTCTTTTTAGGATGTTTAGCTTTCCTAAGTATACCCAATCTTGTTTGTCACCTCTCAAAAATCAGTGCAGGAGGAATGATGCCAATTTATTTAAAGGAGAAGTTGCTATACTATGAAGTTGAGTGACTTCCCTGTCTTCACAGGTAGTTAGGTCTTGCTCTCCTTAATCTTAGTCCTGTGATCTTTCCATGAGATGAGTTATGGAAGTTACGTGTTATTTTTTTAAAATCAGATCTAATAAAAATTGCAAAATTAGATGTTTTATACGTGCTTGGTAATTTTTATTTCTGTTGATAAAAACTAAGGGATTGATGTGCTTAAGAGTATGCTGTAACTGGCTGTTGACAGCACTACATACCCTATTGGGTTTTTTCTTTCCATTTGAGAACCACCCTAACCTAAAGGATAAAGCACCTTGTTAAAAGTGACAGAATATATCACTGACTATCCAGTTTAAAGAAGAATTTAAAATCTCTGCTTGGAGTCTAACAAAACAGAAAGTTTCACTTTTCAGAAATTTCTTTTACCGTAAGTAGCTATTGGTATTTAGAGAAGAATGGTGGAAAACAGCTCCTCAAACTTCATGAAGCAGTGTACCAGGTAATCCTCGTAGCTTACAGTCTGTCAGGGTGAAGCTTTTCTGTTCAGATCCAAGAACTGAATTCACTGGTGTCAACACCTAAAGGAGAATTCATTTGAACCACGTAGCAGAGACATCGATTGTCATCACCTTCATTATCTCATTATCTCAAATTGTTGTTATAGAATACAGGTATATCTTCTGTAAATTACCAGTATATGGAACTGGAGTGAATTTTTAAACTTTCTATCATGCAGACAGAAATGAGATCAGTTTAGCTAAGAACTCTCTCGTGGCCTTTCTTTAATGGTATGTGTTGTAAGTTCTTTGCTTTCCAGTGTTTTCTTCTCTTTCGCCTGTGAAAAATGGTGATTGATAAAAGTAGAACCAGAGTGGAAAAAAAGCAACAACCAAAGAATATCAATGGTTTTTTCTGCATAAGAAATAAGCAGACAGTGCACTCTGTGTTTCTTTGAGTTTGACTGCATCTAGGAATACTGTTCTCGGGAGGGAAGCCATTGCTGCTGATCAGTTTGTTGTAAGACTGTATTGAGGATTTAGCCTTGAAATGAGATGTGAAGAATCCAAATCTGGGTTTAGATTTTTCTTCGGTCAGTTTGAATGCATAATAGCCTTTGATTTTGACTTTATCAATCAGGTATGCTGAAAAATATCAGAAATGAACATTATTAATCACAAATAGACTATAAAGTATCTTTGAATAAGAGTTTAGTTTTCATTGAAACAAGATAGGGGCCGGCCCGTGGCTCACTTGGGAGAGTGCGATGCTGATAACACCAAGACCACGGGTTTGGATACCTGTATAGGGATGGCCGGTTAGCTCACTTGGGAGAGCGTGGTGCTGACAACACTAAGTCAAGGGTTAAGATCCCCTTACCGTTCATCTTTCTAAAAAAAAGTCGTGCCCATAAAAGTAGTGATTCTCATTAAGGGTTTTTTGTATTGTTCTGGTGGCTGGCTGGTATGGGGATCTGAACCCTTGCCCTTGGTGTTACTGACATCATGCTCTAACCCAGTGAGCTAACCAGTCCCTCATTAAGGAGTTTATGGACATTTATTCTTTTATGATCCATGGGAATAAGAAGGGGAAAATATGTGTAATAATTTAAGTCTAAAAAGAAGTTTGAAGAACTCTGATCCATAAATAATCCAGAAACACTTGGGGAAAGAAGCAAATTTAAGAAGCAGAGCCTTGAAAGTAGAAGTACTTCTTACTTTTGTTCAAAGGGTCACAAGCAGAAAAATCTTGCCTATGTGGCCTGATTCCAAACTTCATCTGTCCTGTTAGTGCGCCTATTAACCATACTTGGTTTCCCTAGTCTCATTCTTCATTCTTCTGGTTGACTCCTTCACGCTTTTCCTCCCTCGTCAAACATACAGCACCTCCTCTGTCGTCCTTGTTTCCTACTTCACTGAAAAATTGAAACATTCGGAGGAGAATTTCTTTAATCTCCCACAGTCACATTTTCCTACTACCCCTTGCCATCTGCACTCATACAAGGGTACTTCAAAAAGTTTGTGGAAAAATAGAAATAAAAATAGGAATCCTTCCATGGACTCCTTGAAGACCCCTGGTATATTCAGCCTTCCCTGCTCCAGCAGAGGCTGTCTTCTCCACTTATACATGGAGTTTATTCCCTCTTGATATTGTGCTGTCTGTTCTCCCTTTTCTTTTCTCGTGTATTAAATTTTCCTCACTATTGGATCATTTCCATATAAAGATGCTATTTTAATTAATAAAAACAAAGAACTCTCTTGATTGCACATCCCCCTCTAGCCATCTTTTACAGCACTGGCTCCTGTTCAGTCTTTTTCTGGTTTCTCCTCATGTCTCTAACCTCTGAAATGCTGAAATGTCCCAGGGCTTAGCCCTGTTCTCCATGCTGCTCTTAGTGATTTCAGCCAGCTTTATTTTAAATACCATCCATTTATTTTTGACTCCCAAATTTGTATCTCAGCCCCAGACTTCTGTCTTGAACCTGACACTTGTATCTATTGGCCTACTTGATACCTGTGATTGGATGTGTAGTAGACATCTCATATTTAGCCTGTGCAACACCAAAGTCTTCAATACTCTTGCTCCAAAAACCTGTTCCAACCACAGCCTTCCCCAACCTGGTAAATGGCCACTTTGTTTTAGTTGCTCAAGCCAAAAGCTTGGAATTGGAGAATGTTAATTAAAAGCCAAAAACCTTGGAATTATTCTTGACTCTTCTCTCATACTCCACACCCAATCCTTTTGACTTTACCTTCAAAATACGTACAGAACCTAGCCACCTCTCACCACCCCCACTTTTAATAACCCTATCCAAGCCACCATTATCTCTTGCTTTGACCGTAGCAACTCTCCGTTTCTGTTCTCGCTTCGCTCCCTGCAACGTATTTGCAAAAGTGCAGCTAGAGCGAATCTTACCTCTCACCACCCCCACTTTTAATAACCCTATCCAAGCCACCATTATCTCTTGCTTTGACCATAGCAACTCTCCGTTTCTGTTCTCGCTTCGCTCCCTGCAACGTATTTGCAAAAGTGCAGCTAGAGCGAATCTTAAAATGTGTTCAATCATGTCACCTTTTTGTTTAAAACCTTCCAGCACCTTTCTATCACTCTGAGTAAAAGCCGCAGTTCCTACAGTGGCCTACTAAGTCCTACACAATCTGTCCCTTTCCTTACCTCTTTGACCTTGTCTTCTGCTACTTTCCCCTTCACTGATTCTTCTCCAGGCACTAGGACCTCCTTCCTGATCCTCAAACAGGCCAGGCATGCTCCCACATTAGGGCTTTTGCATTTGCTGTTCCCTCACCTACAACACTCTTCTTTCAGATAACTGCACTGGGTTGCTGCCTTGCTCTTCCAGATCTTTGAAGACTTACCTGACTGCCTTATTTAGAATTGTAACCACTCCTATCCCCCACCCCTGGGCACCCTCTTTCCTGCTCTGTTTTACTCCATAGAACTTTTTATCTCTGACACTATATCTTACTTATTTTGTTGATTTCATGAAATGTAGGCTCCATGAAAACAGCAGTCTTTATTTTGTTCAGTGATATGGGGCCTAGAATGATTTTTGCCCATATTAGGTGCTCAATAAATATTTGTTAAATGGATAAATTTCTGGGTTCTTTTTGCTACTTCAACAAATCTGTCATGAAATTTAAAAATAAAGTTAAACAATAAGAACCAGTGCTGAGAAGGGTATGTGAGTTAAGTACTACATTGCTGTTATGACATTTGGCCCAGTAAGTCCATATTGAGGAATCCATCCTAAGGAGATAATCAGAAGTGAAGATAAAGATTTCTATACAAAGACACCGTCTTTGTTAGTAGCAAAAAAATTAAAAACGACCAAAATATGGAGAGATGGTTATGTACATGAAAATATGTCAGTATGATGGGATATTAAGCAACCATTAAAATAATGTTTACAAGGGATGAAGGCAGCATCGTTAAAAATGTTTACAAGGAATTTTTTATGACATGGAGCACTTATTTATAATATGATATTAAGAAAAAGTTGGAGGGCTGGCTGGTTAGCTCACTTGGGAGAGCATGGTGCTGGTAACACCTAGGTCAGGGGTTCAGATCCCTGCTGGCCAGCTGCCAAAAAAAAAAAAAAAAAAGAAAAAGTTGGATACAAGATGGTTATAGCATGAGCCCAATTGCATTAAAAAAGCCTGGCAAGCATGCTGGAAGTAAATAATCCAAAATATTGACAGTGCTTACCTTGGAGAGAGATTTTAGGTGATTAAAAAAAAAAACAAAAACTTGTCAGATTTTCCCTAATGAGCTTGTGTTACTTTCACGATTGAAGTTTTTTTCAAAAATTCAATAGGAAGTCCAGTTTTCAGGACAAAAACCAATTGACAGGGCTTGGGTGCTACAAATCTGACACTCAAGAATGAACCTTCTCCCTCATCCTTTTTTGTTCATATTAGTTGAGAATCTCACACTTGACTATCTGAAGTAGCCCCCACAACTCACCTTTCAGAGCCTCCTGAATGTACTTCTCCAAGTAGTATTTTCGGAGCTGGTCATTTTCCAGAGACTGGTCATCGATGCCGTTGGCCGTGATGTAGATGTCCAAGTCTCCATAGTTCTTCCGGATCCACCGCAGCAGCTTGCGCTCTCCCCAGGGCACCACGGTCAGGCGCGTGGGGGAGCTCAGGCGGGTGATGTCCTGCAGGAACTGCACATCCCTGTCCGCGTCGTAGCGGCTGCCGCTCTGCTGCTCGTGCATCACGAACCTGGTGGTGAAGTGGTTCAGGGCGTAGAAGTCGGCCGCGCCCTTGACCAGCCTCCTCTCGTCCTCGGTGAAGCGGGGCAGCGCGGAGCTGGAGAGCCCTCGCCTGTTCTTGGAGGCGAGGTACTCTCTCATGGCCAGCGGGTAGTCCCCTGTCTTGAAGAGGGGTTCTGCGAACCAGGCGATCTCGAACTGGAGGAAGCGCTCAGCCGCCGTCCAGTGCGAGTCGGCGTAGGGGTTGGCGGGCTCCGCCCAGTCCGAGTGCAGAGACAGCGACACGGCTCCGCGCTGGGCCGGCCTGTACTGCTGGTCGTAGAGGTGCCACACCAGGGCGTGGGCGATCAGCAGGTTGTGGGCTGCCCGGTAAGTGTCGTTACTAGTGCGGTTGTAGATGTCACTCAGCCGGTTGGGCTCATTGATGGTGATCCAGAGCTTCACCAAGTCCCCCAGCTCCTGGAAGCACAGCCCTGCATAGTCCAGAAAGGCCTTGACTGTCGATGGATTTAGCCACCCGCCGCGGTGCAGCAGAGGCTCGGGGAGACCTAGGTGGGCGTGGGTCGGGTGGTACAAGGTGACCATGGGGGAGATGCTGAGCTTCAGCCCCTCGCTGACCACACACCTGTAGTACCTCAGGGCTTGTCGGTTAACTGAGGACAGATTGCCAGTGGGAAGGACTGAGACCCAGTCCAGAGCAAACCGGTAGTGGGTGACTTTCATTTTTGCCAACATCGCAAGTTGTTTTTTGATGCTGACAAAATCTGTGCATTGAGCTGGCCGTGTTTTCAGCCTCACCCCTTCCACTCGGTGCAGCAGTCTGTTGCCTGTGGCATTCCACACATACAGGTGAGGATCACTGAACTGTGGGGAGGAAGCCACAGACTCCGGCTGTGAAAGACAAGCACATTCAGATGAAGCATGTGCTGCCAAACAGAGGCTGTTAGCATACCAGGTCTGAGAGGAAGAAGGGCCTGATCTTATTCTGCTTCTCACTACAAAAGAGAAAATAAATGATGCATATGTCCTTCATAATGACCAGTGTGTTCCGGCTGTTCTGTTGATGTCAGAGAAAAGACCTGATGGATTATCCTTCCTTCCAGCCCTTGAAATCTCCTAGGGAGACCAGAAAACAGGGAAGGAACCACACCCTAGGGCTTGGCTTGGAAAACAAGTTGTTTGAGAAAACAGAGAAGCCATTTTCTAGTTCATTTGACCTCAAAACCCAGGTTATATAGTGGGATCTCATGTGATTCTGTTCAAATGCATCAGGAAATTGTCTTGGTAACCTCAGTTAAAAGCAATTTATAGCAGGGTTTAGATGGAAATTGTCTTGGTACCCAGTTAAAGGCAATTTATGGCAAGGTTTAGAATCCATCCATTAGACAAAATTAAACACTGCCATAAATTCCAGACAAAATTAAAGTTCCAGTTTAGAGGGTTTCATTGAGATCAGCACTTGGAGTTAGAGGAGGCTGGTTGACCCCAGCCACAGTTCCTAAAAGAGGCAGGTGGGAGGGGGCAGACAATGATCCCCTGCATTGGATGAATAAAACTAACTCCTATTCGAAAGGTTCAAGTGATAATCACATTTGCATCCATTATGTCTCCCCCTCCCATGTGCCTGTGAGAACACAGCATTGATTCATCCAACAGGAGAATATTGAACACTTTCTCTGTGCAAGGGACTTGGGTTATGAGTGGAAAGAACAATAAAATACCCCCAGAAATTCCCAGGCTTGACTCTTGGATCTGATAGTGTCTCATTCCCTGCCTCTCCACCAAGGAAAAAGCTCTGCTCTACTTCTGTTCCTTTGAAACTCAGGCTTGGCAACTATATGGTGATGGAGCAATGTCGCCCACTTCACAGGTGTGCTATGAAGACTCAATGACGGGGAAAGTGCTCTGTCAACTCTAAAGCACAAACATCAGGTAGTCATGACTTGGGTTTAGTTTTCCCTGGTTGCAATAATTACCTGCTAGGCCCTTGTGTCTAAACTAAAACAAAACCCTTTGGCTTAAGAAAAACATTTCCAAATTCAAGACTAATAAGGGAAAGTAAAAGTTCTGTACTTGTTTTAAAATACTTTTTCTTCTCATGACCGAATTTAAATGCACCAGGAAAAAATGATAATTAACCTTTGGTAAATATTTTCCCTCTCGTTATCTCACGTGTCATCTTTCATAGTCTAATTACAAAATCATATCACTGCCCATTTGCCATCTGCCAACCAGTTATCTAGAACATTAAACTGAAAGGACATTGATCATGTGAGCATGAAGTTAAATCTGTATATAATTAATTATTTGAGTAAAATCCTCTTAGCCTAGATTCCCAGTTTCAGTGTTTTGAAAGCTCAGAATGTCACAGTATTGAAAGCGTGTTTACAAAAAGCAATCTTGCCATGAAGCAAGGCAACATCAAATAAAAATCTGTCTTACTCTTTACTTTTTTTTTTTTAAAGATGACTGGAAACGGGATCTTAACCCTTGACTTGGTGTTGTCAGCACCACACTCTCTGAAGAGAGCTAACCGGCCATCCCTATATAGGGATCCGAACCCTTGGCCTTGGTGTTATCAGCACCACACTTTCCCAAGTGAGCCACGGGCCAGCCCTAAAATCTGTCTTAAAGCCTCCAGAAAGTATTAGTCTTTAACAGCAAATGGGTATGATTAATCTGCTAAGAGATCTACTTAAAGATGATACATCCCAATCCCAATCCTGATCCCAGAACTTGTTTCTAAATTCCTATCCCTGGGGGAGGGGGTGGGGTCAGGGAGTAATTGCATAAGAGACACAGAGCAATTATGATTTGTAATGATGAACATGCTAATAATATTGATTTGATCATCAAAAAAATATATTGATTTGATCATCACATACTGTACAGAAATACTGATAGTCAACTCTGTACCCCATAAATATGTATAATCAAAAATAAATAAATAAACAAAATCCTATTCCCCACCAAAAAGATCCTGGGTTCCTTGGAGAAATGGCTCTTTCCAGGTTGGGGGCAGGAAAAGAATGAGGTGAGGCTGGGACATCTTATGCCAGAAAATAAAGTACTTAAAAACTGAGAGGGAAATGTCAAAAAGACATAGGAGCAGCTAGAAGGGTCCCATTGGCTAAATTTGAGACAATTTGAGCATCAGAAGGAACAATGTCATACTGACAATAATGAATTATAAAACATTGAACTTAATAAATTCCAGCTAATAAATTCAGAAAGAATAATCTAATTATTGGCCTGGACTCTCCAAAAATGTCATTACCACTAGTTTGAGGAAATTACTCTGAATTATGTTAGATACAGTTATCAGGAAAGATTTCTTTGGAGGAGGTGGCATTTGAGATTGGCTTTGAAACTTTTCTTTCTTTTTTTCTTTTTTTGGTGGCTGGCCAGTTCAAGGACTTAAGATAAACCAATGTGTGATCTTGGTTCTCTCTCTTTTTTTTTTGGTGGCTGGCCAGTACAGGGATGGAACCCTGGACCTTGGTGTTATTAGCACCATGCTCTAACCAGCTGAACTAACTGGCCAGCCTTTGTTTGCATTCTTGATCCAAAAATACTTAAACATCTATAGAGAACATTTTTGGAATACAGTCATGCATCACTTAATGACTGGGATATGTTCTGAGAAATGCATCATTAGGTAATTTCATCATTGTGTGAACATCTTAGAGTGTACTTACTAGATGTAATAGCTTATCACACATCTAGGCTATATGGTATAGTCTATTGCTCCTAGCCAGCATCACCACAAATATGTGAGTAATGTGTTGTGCTACGACATTACGATGATTAGGACGTCACCAGAGGATAGGAATTTTCCAGTTCCATTATATTCTTATAGGACCACTGTCATACATGCAGTCCGTTGGTGACCAAACATTGTTAGGTGACACACGACTATATTTAGAGAAATTTTAATATGGATTATATGTTATATGGCATTGAATCAATGTTAAATTTCCTGGATATAATGATGTTATAATGATATAGAAGAATGTCTTTGTTCTTTGGAGATACATACTGAAGTATTTTGGGGTGGAACATAATGATGTGTCTGCAAGTTATCAATGACTCCTAAAAGAGAGAGGCAGAGAAAAAGCAAATGTGGCAATATGTTAAGAATCAGTCAGTCTTAAGAAGGGAATGTGTGCTTTCGTTGTACAAGTTTGAAATTTGTCAAAATGTTGGAGGTGAAAAAAATGCTAAGAGGCTAGGGGAGAATGAGATAGGGATGTGTGGGGAAGGCATACTAATGTTTTTAAAGCGTTACTTTAATTTGTTCAGTCTACCAAGAGAGGACTTCTAGTTTTCTGCCTACACAGCATCTATTCAGACATCCTTAGCTGATTTTTCCAAAAGCACCCTAATTTTTCTTGGCAAACCATTCATCCCCACTCTTAGTCTAAGTGGTTCAAGGGAAGCTGACTCCTTTCTGGATTCCAGGGGTGAGCATGAAACCCAGACCTAATTGGTCACAGACTTGTTTTTCCTTGACCCCTGTGATCAATTCTTGCTCCTAAAAGTAGGAGTGGGTCAGACATCTACAGTGTCAATCACTGGAGAACTGGTGGGTCTTCAGCTGAAACAGGAATTTGCAGGTTGGGTCTCCCATGCAGGTAGAGAAGGAAGTCTATTTCCGGGGATCTTTCTTTGCTGGGTCTGGAATTTTGAAAAATATAAACCCACTTGAAGTGGTAGGGAAAAGTTGGCTTGCCTCTGACATGTGGAGGAAGGGGTAGGAACTGGGTAACCAGGAGGCTGTATAGGGGACACAAGCTGAAGACAAGTCACTATGTTTATGTTACTCTCTGTATCTTTCCCCCTTTTATTACTCCTGATCCTTTACTAAAATCTTGTTTAAATATCCACAGAGGTTGAGATTCATAACCTGTGAACTTTGCCCACTCGTGGTTTGTACTCTTTTGTCTGATTCCATCCCTTGTACATCTTGTTGTCTTTCTATATGCTTCTAGAATACATGCAATAGTGTGGTATGGTGAGGTCCTATAACATAGTGGTCAGGAGACAGACATACGAAATCTGTGCACATTATGTAACCTCCCTAAACCTGTTTCCTTGCCTGTAAAATGGGGGTTTTAAGATGAAATGAGAGAATGCACATACACACATCAGTTAAATGCTTGGCACAAGGCAAAGGCTTTAAAAATAGTTATTATTTTGGAAAGAGTATTGTGCATCTGGAGGCTTGAGGACTACCTGTTAACAGTTCTACCACTACTCATGTTACCTTGGGCAAGTTGATAGGTCTCACTTTTCTCACCTGTAAAATGAAGGGTTTAGAATGAGAGGTCTCTGAGGTCTCACCTCACTCTAAAAGGTGATCTCGTTCTAAAAGATATGCACCTACCACATTCCAGGCACTGGTTTATTAAGGCAAACAGCTGGCATCAAAGCCTCAAACATCTCTGCCTCATGCAGCTTGTATTCTAGTAGGGCAGGACAGGTGATGAATAGGAAAAATGTATAAAGTGCACAGTAAATTAGGTGGTGATGAGTGGTATATAGAAAAATAAAGCAGGAAAGAAGGATGAGAGATGATAGCGATAGGGTTATGATTTTTGGAGTAGAGGGAAGCCTTACTAAGAGGAAGCCTTTGAGTAAACATCTGAAGAAAGTAAAGAATGGGACATGTGGGGAGGGTCCACTGGGATTTAGAGACGTCATCTGGCAAGTTACCCAAATCTACTAAAGAACAGGAATCATATAAATAAAGGGCTACTGGGTTCAGATCCCCATACTGGCCAGCCACACACACACACACACAAATAAATAAAATTTTAAAATAAATAAATAAATAAATGAAGGGCTAATAATAATTTGCTTTTGGCAAAACAAAAATCTATAAGAAACTTTTTTCCCTATAATTTTGGCACTAACCAATGCTTCACACAGAAATGACTGTAAGTTCCCTCTAGACTGTGTGTTCCTTGAGGGCAGCCTCTTCATCTCCATCACCAAGTGTGAGTTCTGGCCCATTAAAGGCCCTCAGTAATCACTAATTCCCCTCTTTTTCTCCCTTCCTCTTTCCCCACCTCTCCTTCGTAACCCCCAAATTATCATGGTATTTGGTATTGTCTAACAGCTATCTCTTAGATGTTACTGAGTAAATAAAATAAAATATTGTGTACTATTTGCCCCAGTTTATGGTTAATTTGGAAGTAGCCACTTACCTTAAGAACAGATTCAGTGATACCCCAGGAGAAGTCACAGGGAAACTGACCCTGCACATCTGGTGTGGACTCTTTTAAAAAAGCAAAACCATTTTCTTGTATGATCTGTTTGTAGTAATGTGCCGAAGACTTGGGTTTTCTTTCTTTCTGTTTACTGTTAAAATCCACATAAAATAATCCGCGGCGGGTGGTATAGGCATCCTGCCATTCAAAGCCATCCAGGAGAGACCAGGCAGTGTAACCAAACACTTGTATTTCATCAAACCTTATTGCTGCACAGAGAAAAGAAAGCAGAGCTGTTTGGAGGCCTAAACACTGTAGTTCATGTTTACAATTTCACTAACAACATGCCAGGGGACAGCATATTGTGAAACCAACCTTTTCCCTAATTTGCAGGCCCATTATACCAAATAGAAAATTCACGTGTATACTGGGAAAGTGACAGTTATTTTCATCCAGAAATACTCCCCACCCCCAACAAGTGAATGACACAGATAAAGGTTCAAATTAAAACTATTCTTGAGATGTAGTGTGTGAATCTGTGTCAGGGGGCATTGGTCCTTTGGGAACAATGCAGATGTCTGCTCGTGACCAAGAATTTCTCATTTCAAGTTTGGGTTGGTTCCCATTTGTGGACAAACTATCCATTCTATAATTAAAACTATTCTTGAGATGTAGTGTGTGAATCTGTGTCAGGGGGCATTGGTCCTTTGGGACCAATGCAGATGTCTGCTCGTGACCAAGAATTTCTCATTTCAAGTTTGGGTTGGTTCCCATTTGTGGACAAACTATCCATTCTATAAAACTATAGAAACAGCATTTTTAGTCATTCGGGGACTAAAAAATCAGCTTTTAGAATTAACATAAGTGAATGTAGATATAAGGGAGCAAAAGAAACAAAGTGATGTAACAAAATGAGAACTGCCCGGGCTGAGGGGCAGGGGGCCTGCAGGCTTGCCCTGCTCTGCTCCTGGGAAGGTGCTATTGGGCAAGTTTCTTGGGCTCAGTTTCCTTATTTATAAACAGAAAAGATTAGACAAGATGACCTCTAAGGACCTTTATAGCTTTAAAACTGATTCAATAACTTGTAAGAATTGGGTAAAAATGAAATATGAAAATCAAGGGCTGGGGTACAAACAAACACCCAAATAAGTCCTGAATCATTTTTCTTTTCTTAAAAACTATCATTCCTCTCATAGAAATGTCTCATTTCTGCATTTTTGGTGTTTTATCACTGACTTTCTTTTCCTAAAAGGTAGAAAATCCATGCTAAGAAATTCCAGGAAGATAGATGTGTTTCAACAGGCCCTGGTTCTAGTCCCTTGGTGTTGTAGGGTCTCAAGGAGAGGTGGAATGGTAACACCTGAGGAACGACCTCCCCTTCTGCCCAAGTGCATGACCCAGGCCCTGTAGGCAGTGTCCTCTACTCTGGAGGTCCCCATAAGCATGTGGCCCATGCTAGGCATGGCACTAGTCCATGCTGCTTCTTCCTGCAATTAGGGGCAACAGGGCCTGACTGTCCCGGAGAACCCTCCCCGAAGACTGCTACAGAACCTGGGATTTTCCTGCAGACTTGTGACTTCTAGAGAGAGATACAGAGTTTTAGAAAGATCCACAGAGAATTTCTTTATATTTGAGTGAAATGGAGCCCAACTCTGTAGGGGACAGAACCATCATAACTTGAGCTTGTCTTCTGCTCCATTATTTCAATCAGTTACCTGTAGATGTCACTACTTGAGTCATGGATAAGGAATGAGGGGATCAGAAGAAATCTTCAGAAGCAATAGAAGTTACTCAGACCTTTTCATCATTCTGTCATGTCATAGAGTAAAAGGATCACAATTTCAAGAAAAGCTTTCAGCATCTTAGAATAAAGTACTACCATTAGGAAACTGTAAACTTTTAGCATTATGTCTTTCATAAAGAATGAAACAGCATCTTTTTGCCAATTATGGATGTATCTGTAGTCTAAATTATTTTGTTCTCAAATTTAAAAAAAGGACATGTGGGCTGGCTGGTTAGCTCAGCAGGTTAGAGTGTGGTGCTGATAACACCATGGTCCACGGTTCCATATCTGTACCAGCCAGTCACCAAAAAAAAAAAAAAAAAAAAAAGACATGGGAATAACATTAAAAAGTTCTGTCAACATTGGACAATACAAAAGCCCAACATCAACAACAATAATAATCATATATTCAAAGGTGAATTAAATATCCTATAAGCATTCAATATTTTGTAGAAACAGAGCTAGTGTGCAACCAACCTTGAAGAACCTGGTTGAGGAAATTCTTCATCATGTAGATGGCTGTGGTATCTTCTGTTTTCACGCGACTGTCTGTGAACCAACCATTCTCAGCAATCAAGATTCGAGGGTTGCCATATTCCAGTTTAATCCAGTTCAGCACTTCTCTTAAATTGAGGGACACATTTTGCCCCATTTTAGCCATGGTGTTCAGGGGCTTAAAATTGTTGGGGCCAAAGGAAAAGGCAAAGAAATCTGCTGTGCCTCTCACTTCATTCTTCTCTGCCTCAGAAAAAAGGGGGAGAATGGAGAGCAACTTCTCTTTCATTACCTCTGGATAGTCGCCCTCCCCATGGATGGGGTGGGCAAACCATCCGAGCACAGAAACCACGGATTGTTGACACTTGAGTATATCCATCATGTTTTCCGATCTGTTCGGCTCAATCCAATGGGATCCCAATGTGATCGATAACCAACCCTTCTGATGTGGGCGGAAATTTACATTGTAGTTATGCCACACTTTCGAATGAGCCTAATAAGAAAATATTATTGATATTTATCGTCCTTACTCACAAGAGTTGCAACATAGCTAGTAGAAGGTCTTTTCATGGACAAAATTAATGAAGCATAGGGTGATGCCGGGGAAAGCTGTCAGGGAACCCTGATGTCCTCAGAGTCTGCTCTCTGTCCACTTCACCAGCACTTCCAACCTAAAACTTCTCATACAGGATTGCTGAGGGGTTGGCAGAGAGCCCTAGTCCAGGCTTTATCTTACTTCTCTGTCCGGCTCCTTCCCCATGCTGTCTTGATGCAGGGGGCAGGTGAGATATCATGTGGGTCATAGGGTTTCCTCCTCTACATAAAAAAAAGCAGTGATCTTTCATTGTTCTACAGAATCTCCCTGTGGTCTTACCTAATTTGGAAGTCCACGACGATGCAGTCTCTAAATCCTGTAAATGGATAATAATAGAGTCCTAGAGTGGCTGTGAGGATCGAATGCATTAACATATGTAAATGTTTTAGAACAGGGACGAGCACAGAGTCTCTGTATAAGCCTTAGCTATTATTACCCGGGTTTTTTTTTGGTGGCTGGCCAGTACAAGGATCTGAACCCTTGACTATTATTACTATAATTATAAAAAGGTGGTAGGCCCAAAGCAGAAAACCAATGGAAAGAGTGTGGGCTTTGGGGTCAGCACACCTGTGCTTGAAGTTCGGGTACTAACTGTGTGGCCTTAGGCAAGTCACTTAACCCTTCTGAAATCTCTTAGTATCCTCAGCTGTAGAATGAGGTTAATAATAATAATATCCTTTGTAAGGCTGTTGTCAGATTTAGAGCTATTGTTCATATGAAATATGTCGTACAGAATAGAGCATGTTGAAGGCACTGCCTAAGTATGGATGTTGTTATTATGGGTCCTCCTGGAGTTTACATTTCCAGTTGTGCTCTCTCATAACAGAGCCTATCGATTGGTTTCCAGTCTATTTAATAGATGGTTACTGAGCACTCAATGCCTGGCTTGCCCCACCCTGAAAGGCTGAAATATCTGGAACAGGAACTTGCCTTCAGGAAGTTCCTTAATTGGAAAATAAGATTGAAATGTGGGAAAGAGAAACATAATATTGCATAAAATAAGGCATTAAATGAAAAAATAATTGAAAGCCAGAAGGCATGTTCAGCAAAGAGCCATGACACGTGGCTGAAGGAGGAGTGGACATTAAGAACCCCAGTTAAGGATTCTAGGCCAGTCACGTGCCCAAAGCTGCTTCTCTGTCCCAGCCAGCCATGGAATTGTCTTTCATCTGTGTCAGGCCCCTCTCTTCTCCACAGTATCTGACTTGCATCCCTCTTGACATTGCTCCCCAGGTCTCTGAATTTCTCCTCTATTTGAGCATTTCTAAAACAAATGCACAAACCCTTATTATTTTTAACCCACAGAGTCTGCTTTTAGTTTTGTTTCTTAGCTTTTCTTTCATTCACTGGAGATGTTTTATATCAAGAAGAATTATCTGAAACTGTCTTTTTGTAGGTCAAAAATAAGCAAATAAGAGCAATGGATTCAAACCTGATAGATCCTGTGGACACTGAAAAGGTTTTGTGAATCCTGCTAGGGTGGAGGAAGTAGGCACTGATGTAAGGCATGAGGAATCTATAACTGGTGCCACCCTGCTTTATGCAAGAAAAGCTAGTTTAAATCATTCCCTAAAAGATTTTCTGGAGGAGTACATGCCTTGAGGTATTTCCTCGGTCCTTACAAAAATTGCATTGGGAGATCCTGGAACTGTTTAGCACCAAAATGTTCCCAAGGATCTTTAAGAACGCTTTCCTGTGCGAGAAGTGTTCAGGTTGTAGCCTCCTCCCTTCCTTCCAATCTGAGGTTACAGCTTTTGGAAGGAATCACAGGGGAGTTAGAGGCAGACTCTGCTTTAAATGGTCTCAACCATTCTTTCTATGCTTTTTTGTGGCTAGAATCACAACAGAAAGTCTTGAGAACTGCTTTTTTTTTCTTTCGTGATTTGAAACAAAAGCAGTCATGCATTATTAAGATTCAAAGGGGACATTGTTTGCTTTATTCTAAGCTGTCACTCAATCCCTTGGTAGCCTTAGTGCTTTTACCCACAGAAGACACAGCAATTAGCACCTCTCGTCAGGGCTGCTGTGCACTTCTGATGTGTAAACTGGAAAGTACTGAACACGTGTAAGATTCGGAGCCATAAACTAGCTGCCTTGCAAATATGATGCCATCAGACACTAAAGAGAAAGTGAGATTAAATTAGTATAAATGTATTAACCTAATGTAGGACTCTAATACTTTAAAACAGGGGGAGGAGTTTCTTCAAAATAAATGTTCTATTGCGTATTTCAGTGATTATATGAAAGATAACCTAAGTTGTGACAAAATCTTGGTTATATCAGTGTTTAAATGAGAAATACTACAGCTTAGAATACAACAGATATGTACCTTTGCAGTACCTTTCCAGGCAACTTTTCTGGACATATATGCATGTGTTGTCATGCCCCAAGGTGACCTTCCCATTCCACTGTGTCTCTTTCACCTTTGCTGTTATTTACACAGGCTATCAAGGTATCTAGGGTTATCTTTGCTCTGAGCTGATGACAGCCTTTCCATTCTCATGTAGAGAATGTGGGGGAGTTTCTCTGTGCAGCACTTATAGTTACAGCTTGAGCCTGTTTGCCAAACAACAAGGTAAAAAGTTTTGCTCTTAGATGGTGAGTTTGACATAAATCTTGATGAAACAGGGATATCTATATGTTCTTTGGTCTGACATCTCATAAAGGACATCTGTTAGGAAAACTAAAATGGGGTTGAGGGGGAGTGCAACCTGGGCCCTGCAACCTTGCTCAACAGTCATCCTACAGTTTTCCAAGGTTACCCTCTATCTTGTACTAGGCCTTTGGAATGATTGACCTAAGGGAGCCTCAACCTTTGTTCTTCAGGTTTAGTAGCTCAGAGGGGAAGTCAGCTGCTTTTTCTTTTTGAGCCAGCTATCAGGTCCTAATGTCATTGAGAGACAGCTGGGACCTAATACCTCATTCTGTTCCCTCCTACAGTCCAACGTGACAGATCCTTTTGATGCCCCTGGAAGTCCATACTGAGATAATTCTGTGGATGATAGGAAGCAAATAAGATAGCAAGCACAACTTCAGAAACAGAGATGAAGAAGAGGTTAGAGATCAGGGAGACGTGGCGGGACACTGGTGAAAGGACGGATGGACAAACCTAACACATCATATGTGTGTATTGAAGGAATGCTCAATCATTTGTCAAAAGCTAGGTTTCCAAATCTGCATGATTTTAGCCATGTTGTGGGTGAAGTATCTTCGTGTGAACTGTAAACTTGTCCATTGTTAAGGCTATCTAGTAAAGTATTAAATAAAAACTGTTAAAGAAACTATTTAAAAACTCTACAACCATAACAAAATATTTTCATATTTATGTGTTCCCTTCCTGCCTTTCCAAATATATTTCCCAGCTAAAATCACTTTAAACATATTTCATGTCACTTTTAGTTTTCATGATTATCTTATCAGTGGAACAATTCACCAGTTTGATGAAATATGATTTAATTAGTCATTTCTCTCTTTTGATAGAAATTAGCTTGTTTTTCTTCTTTGCTTCTTTTTTCTTGTTGTGAATAGTTTCTTGTAAATAGTGCTGCAATAACTAACTTTGGGCATATAGGTTTTAATTTGTTTGAATTATTTCCTTTCATTAATTCCAGGAATGTTAAAATTTTTAAATTGTTTAAAATATTCCTAAATTGTTTTCCACATACTTTGTCCATTGGTGTGAGTGTTCTTTGACTATCTGCTGCAAAACACTGATAGCTCTATTTGGGGATAAATGGCCTTTGAGAAGGATATAGAAGGGCTACTCACCTGCATGGTACTATCGGGGACAGAACTCTGGTTTTGAAAGTGGGACACCCAGGCTCTCGTACTGGCCCAGCTACTCATTGGCTTCGTGATCTCGGACAAATCATTTCCCTCTCAGCAGCCTCAGTTTCCTCCTTCGTTATACTGAGCTAAAAATAAACACCCTAGAGAATTATTCTTAAGATTGAATGAGGTAATATATGTGAAGACCCTATGAAAATTATACAAATGTAAATTTGGTGTACTTTGACAGAGAAAGCTGAAAATTACTTAACTTGCTGTGGAAAATAATGGTAGAAGTCTTTGTAGGCATGAAGAATGTTTTGCGCATAGCTCCTAAACCCTTACCTCTAGAGCAAGGCTCATGGCTAAATATGTTTGTCCTCATTTGCTGTTTGCAGTTTATTGAGTTTTATTCATTGTCATTTGGGACTAATTTGGATTAACCTGAATTGGATTCATTTTTCAGCTACTCAGAACTTCTTTATATTAGTGCCAAGTTTTATGCTAATTACAAATGCTGCTCTTCCAGATTATTTAACATTCATTTATTCATCCTGCATTCCACAAATACTTACTGGGTGTGTGCTTAAGGTATGCAGAATTTACTGTTCATTGCTAAAAAGTTATGCAACTATTACTTTCATAAAATATATTATGTCCTCATTAGTATAGTGGTGAGAAAGAAAATATATTATATGACTTCTTTAAATTTTTTGACAGTCTTGAAACTCTTGGAAACAATATCTTACTCTCATTATTCTTAGGAAAGAATTTAAATATTTTAAAAAGTTACCACCTTTCATAAAGAAAATATTTATTTATCCTATTTTTTCCTTTTTTTTTTTGGCAGCTGGGTGGTGTGGGGATCTGAACTCTTGACCTTGGTGTTATAACATCGTGCTCTAACCATCTGAGCTAACTGCCCAGCCCTCCTTCCTGTTTTTAATGATCCAAATTCATGTTTTCCATAGTTGGAATAACCCAGTAATTACACTTTAATGAATTTTATACCTATTTTATTTTTTTGGCAGCTGGCTGATGCAGAGATCTGATCCCTTGATCTCGGTGTTATCAACACCATCCTATTTTCTTTTTAATCATTACATTTTCAAATTATTCTAACAAATTGT